TGTATGTGTTTCGGTCTGTGTGTACGGCCGTACACAGGGTGTGCGACTGTACACATGTGTATGGCTGGAGGTCCATATAAATAGAGGAGTGCATGTGGGAGTGTATGGTTAGAAAAGGCTAGAAGAGAGAGAAAGTTAGAGAGAAGAAGTGTGCGTGTGAGAGAGAATCTATTGTAAGGAGCATCACTCAATTTCATTAATACATCATAGATTAATCTTCTTCTCCTTCTCCTTCTCTTTTATATTGATCTGACATCATCCAATTGATTGGGATTCCACACCATCAATTGGATCTGATTGATACACAAGCAATTTTGGGGACTTTCAATTGGTATCAGAGCTTGGTTGTATCAATCAATTTTTTCAGATCTGGAGCTTATTTGATCTTATTTTGAAAAGATAATAGCATTTTTGGATAGATCTCGCAAAAATAAGGGGGGTTACTTTTTTGCATTTTTCATAAAAACAAGTTTTTGATCGAGTTTTAGAGCAAAAAGGGTGAAAAACGTCATTTTTTTCGCGAATCTGTTGAAGGTGTGCGGCCCGTGTGTGCGGCCAGGGAGTGTGTGTGGATGGGTCGGTGTGCGGTCCTCATCCTCGTCCTCGCATCACAACTTCGCTTTGCAGCCATCAGCCCATTCTAGAACAACAACTTTGTATTAAAAAAAGGGGAAGGGAATTGGTGCTGCAACGATTCAAACCCGGGTCCCTTGGTCCAACAACCAAGCGCCTTACCAACTCTTCTAGACTGAATCTTGTTATTAAACTCCGATTTTTTATTCTTAAAGACTCCAATTCGAACCTAATTTTGCCTTTTTGACAAAATCAGCCGAAAAAAAATCAATTCCTTTTATTTTTAAATTCCATTTTCAAACCAAAAATTCTAGTTTTTAATTTTTGATTTTATTTTTATCTTTTGACCTTACAATTTTGACTTTGACTTTTAAAATTTGACCTTTGACTTTAAACTTTGACTTTTTCGTTTACCTTTAAAATTTCAAATTTAGCCTTTCGGTTTAACTTTTAAGTTTGTCTTTTTAAGTTTGAATTTGAACGTTGACTTTCTCGGTTTTTAAGTCAAAGGGAAATAAATAAAAAAGGAATTATTATAGAAGAACAAAAAAATGATGAGTTCCGCATCAATTCCGGTAAATAAAGTTTCATGTACTCCATCTTGTGAAATTACTATTAAATTTCTCCGAGATCAAATCGATTTATTAAAAAGAGAAAATGAGGACCTCAAATATGAAGGCTATATTCTTAGGAAAGGTCAAAAACCTTTAAAAGCATAATTAGAGACCCAGACTAATGACTTTAGGAAATTACAAGAAGATTATAGCAACAAGTGTGAAAATTACGATCACATTAAGAAAAAACTTGTTGCTGTAACTGAAGAACTTGAAACTTTGAAAATTAACTGTGGAAAAACAAATGTTAGTTTCAAAAAATTATACTGCGTCAAGCAAGACAGTCGAGTCCTTAGTAGAAAAACAATTGAGTTTTAAAGATAATCAAACCAAGAGTTTAGGGTATCACAATGTGCCACCTCCTTTTAATCACAACTATAACCCACCCCTTGAGACCAATGAGGAAGAAATGCTTGCTCAGTATGGCCAAACCCCTACTCCAGATTCAGTTAAGACTGAACAATCAGGGCCAACTGAGGGTGTTGAGCTGAACGATACTAATGATTCTACTTCTTGTGCAGGTAAAGTAGTAGAGGATAAGAACAAGCAGAAAACTATTGAACAAACCAATGACTCCTTGAACTCTGAATTTGTTGCTTCGAACTCAATTGCTTCTGATCAACCTGCTATTGAGAAGTACAGGCCACCAAATCAAGTGAAACAGTCGACTTGTTACAAGTGTGCTTGTGGGAACAATCAGAAACAAGGCAAGGACATGCCACCAGGGGCAGGAAGAAACAACTTCACAGTGAAGAAAAAGACATGTTTTCACTGTGGAACACCTGGGCACATTTCCAGAAATTGTCCTAATCACGCATATGTTCCCTACTATGCACAAGGCAGGCATAAAACACCAAGAGGGAGATACCCCAAAAGAAACCCTTCGAGGCCACATTTAGACAATAGCGACTGGAATGCCACGAAGGCCAAAAATCAATCCCACAAGAACAAGAAGGGAATGTCGTCCAAGAAGCCAAATCCAAGAGATGCTCCCGTGAAGCCAAAATCAAATTCATCTTAACGGCTGACATCAAGATCAAAAGAAAGTACTGAGCCACCCATCGGATCGAAAAACAAATGGGTTAAACCCAACTACAAATAGGTTCCAAAGGCTCACTCTCCCAAATCTACTAACGATTCTAATATTTCTACATCTTCTGCTTGTGATAAGCAGGACATGTCATGGGAGAGAGTACCATGTAAGGATGACAAAGGTCAACCCAGTTTCAAAATGGACTGGGTTCCAAAGACCAACTGATCCTGCTCGGTGTTTGAACATCTATAGAGGCATATCATCAGACTTCGGTTTGTTGATAGTGGTTGTTCCAGGAACTTGATAGGGGACATATCTCAACTGTACACCATTCAAAACTTTGTTTGAGAGTATGTGTCCTTTGTGGGAATGGAAGAAAGGAAGGGATCACAAATTGGGTTTGTGCTTAACGACATCAAGAATTTTCGGATCTGTTCTGAGGTTACACGTGCTGTTCTCAGACCTTCTGGATGCAAATTCAATCAGTGAATTACGATTTGAGTTTTCTTCTCTATACTCTTGAGTTTACCTTACTTTGATTCGTTTTAAAGACAATCTTGATTTTCTTAATAGTTTTTCGTTAGTAGGTATTGTTTGGGAAGTGATATCAACAAGTGATAACAGGCAATCTGATTCTGTGTAGTGTACCAAAGCTGAATTGTCTAGGCTCTGTGTTCGATGCGTTGGTAGGCACGAAGGATTTTAATGGACTTGACTAGGTGCAGATGTACTTAAGAAATCAAATAACTTGACAAATCTTGACCTAGATAGATTCGTTTAGCCTGACAATACGACACTCGGATAGGTTGAGCAGGGAGATATACATAAGAATCCACCTGTCACACTAAAGAACTCGTATCTAGAACTGTGGTTTTACTTTTCCTTGATGTACGGATTCTATCCTTAATTCCGGTATTGACAGGGCGCTCCGATAAAGTAGGTCTGGAGAAAATTATTTTCTTTCTTTGTTACTGTTAGTCATATGTTGCCTCCTTTACGTGATTGGAAGAGATCCGAACTGGACTGCAACATATGCAAATCTATTTCTCTAAATATTATGTCTATGAAAATCTTCTTATTTGTTAGCCATATGTTGTCTCCTTTGTGTGATTAACAATCCGACCTGGTACACAGCATATGCAACCTTCTACCTCTCAATCCCTCTAACAACTATAATTAATAATAATTTGAATCTATCCTCTCTATAAATAATAGTCTGCTCACCTAAAGTAAGGAGTATCCCGAAGTTCTTGATTATTGGGGTATGTCAGGAAGCGGGAAACATGTTCTAGTACATCTAAAAATAAACAATTCTAGATTGTCTGTAGATCTCGCTACTCAATTTAGGTGGAAAACAATATCCTTGGTATTTAGGAACTTAGGATCAACTAGTCTTGTCACTTATAGCGTGTCCAAAATTTGTCACAATTCTTCGTGTTTAAGTGGACCACAATACCGACGATCGACCATATCTATTCATGAAGGGGAAGGAACTGACAAACGGATTAAGATTGTCTAAAAACTTTGATCCCAAATCATTCTTAAAGTTAGATATCAATTTTATTTTTGTTAAATTTGTTCATAGTTTTCCTCTATGCATAAATTTTAAGAAGAGAATTAAAAATAATTCAAAAATCAGAAAATTAAAAATCCAAAAATAGTGTTATTTCTTGTTCAGAAAATTCAAAAATATTTTTGTTTCTATTTTTATTTTGTGTGTTAATTTTTCTTTTAGTTTTGTTTTGTCTTGAAAAGTGATTTCAGGTATAGATAAGACTCATGAAGTTTGTGTTGAAGATTTTTGAGCCAAGGCTTCATCTTTGAGCATCGAAGAATTCGCATTCGAAGGAGCAAGAAATGAAGATTATTCTTTCGACATTCAATCTGTCAACCCCAGAAGCATGGTGAAGCTGAAATTCAAGATTATGTGATGGATTGCATTGAAGCCTCCTCAATCAGTCTGCTGCTTTCTTTGTACCTGCTGAAGTGATCCAAAAGATTTGTTCTCTCTGATGTTCTCTCTGTAGATTCTAAGGCTGGAAGCGCTATCTTTCAAGAATCAGTACCTCAAGCCTCCTCACTCGATGTGTGTTCAAAGTAAAATTCTGAAGAAAATCCCAACCGCTCAATATGAAGTCATTCATTGAAGATTCATCAAGTTCATCTTGAAGCTGTGAAGAATTTGAAGATTAATGTTGAAGCCAAGATCCCAATGAAGACTAACAAGAAAAGTCAACTACTTTTTAGGGGGAGTTTGTTGGGCCAATTAGAAAAGAAAGCTATAAACCAAGGGGGAGATTGTTGGGTCAAAAATATGGTTTATACTTTGCTTTTCTAGGAAAATATATTTTTATGTAATGTTGTATGTGTTTACGGTTTGTGTGTATGGCCGTACATGTGTGTACGGCCGCACACCCTATGTACGGCCGTACACAGGGTGTGCGGCTGTACACATGTGTATGGCTGGAGGTCCATATAAATAGAGGAGTGCATGTGGGAGTGTACGGTTAGAAAAGGCTAGAAGAGAGAGAAAGTTAGAGAGAAGAAGTGTGTATGAGAGAGAATCTATTGTAAGGAGCATCACTCAATTTCATTAATACATCATAGATTCATCTTCTTCATCTTCTCCTTCTCTTCTATATTGATCTGACATCCTCCAATTGATTGGGATTCTGCACCATCAATTGGATCTGATTGATACACAAGCAATTTTGGGGACTTACAAATTCAATCACTTCAGCAGCCGACTTTACCTTATCTACAAGGACACCATCATCTTTTCATTCACTAAACTCAACATTACCCCCATAATCTGATTGAGTAGCATCATAGGTTTCTGATTGTTGTTTAAAACTACCCTCCCCTAATATTTCATCCACCCGCTGCTCAACTTCATCAAGTACTTTGTATAGCTCTAAACCAACCCTTTTAAGCAAAACATCTTCTTTTCCAACATCAATCACTTCAACTTCTTCAACAATATGACCATCTTCAATAATAACATAAATAACATCCCTAGTCTGAATATCATCACCATGATCCCCAGTCTCAATACCATCATCATGATCCCCAGTGTCAATACCATCACCTTCCCCAATCTGAATACCATCACCATGTTCCCCAATCACAATACTATTACCATGATCCCCAGTCTGAATACCATCACCTTCCTAAATCTGAATACCATCAACAACAACTTCTTTTTGAGTTGCAGAAACATCTTCTTTCTGAGTTGAAGTAGCCTCTTTTTTGGACCTTGATGCTTTTAAAACCTTGGAACTTGATGCTTCTTTCTTTGACTTGTTTTTCTTCTTTGGAGGCTGACTGGATTGAGAAGCTCTTAATGATTCATCATATCTAGTAGCCTCTTTTTTGGACCTTGATTCTTTTAAAACCTTGGAACTTGAGGATTCTTTCTTTGACATGTTTTTCTTCTTTGGAGGCTGACTGGATTGAGAAGCTCTTAATGATTCATCATATTTAATTAACAATGGATCTTTCCTTGGTCTGCCTCTTTTCTTTGATGGCAAGGGTACTACTAGCTTTTTCTCATTCATACAACTTTTTTTATTATGGCCATACTCTAAGCACTTCCCAAATCTTACTATTCTTGGTACAAATAACCTTGTTGATGAAAACCTCCCCTCTTGTTCACCACCATGCCGATTCCTTTTGGTAGTAGGCCTACATAGCATTCTACTAGCCAAAGGAGGCAATGGATTTTATGAATCCAGTTTGGCTACAAAGATTACTCCCATTCACTGGTTTGATATTAGAGGAGTAAGAGTGATTAAAATTTTCCTTTGAAAAGTACCCATCAATATATACATTTGGTGTTTGATTGATGTAGTTGATGGCTGCATTTGCATGTATACATGGGATCCCAGACAAATCTCATAATCTGCAACTGCAAGCCCTGCTGTCAAAGTCCACCATATAGCTGTCAAATCCTCTTCTAGCTTCAAAAACATGTCCTTGACTATGAACTACAACCCATAACCTACATAAATTGGTATAGTAAATAAGAACAATAAAAAGAAAAAACCAATGTTAAATTTATTTGATGCGTTCCTCATATTTTTCCCAAATAACTACATTTTCCTAAGTACAGCAGGACAAACATTTGATTTCCATTTAACATTTTCCTCTGTCATCTGGGAAAATATGTCCATTATATATATCATGATCTCTTCAAGCATTGTGATAAGGGGTTTTTTCCTAGCATCAACAATGATTGTGTTGAAACACTCAGAGATTCCATTCTTAACTGCTTCACATGCATAAGCCCTATCAAAATAAGCTCTACACCATGTTTTTGGTTGTCTTGAGACCAAGTACTCATATGCGGATGGGCTCAACTGCTTGATGGTTTACATGTGCCTCATAAAATCACGTTCTACACAACTCATTGATGCAGCCCAAAATAATTTCTTGAACTCCAACCCTGTGTATGCTTTCTTGAAATTGGCATAAATATGCCTGACACATTGTTTGTGCTCAACATTTGGGAGTATATCTTTTACAACTTCAACCAACCCCTACAAGAAAAGAACATTCAACTTAATATGCATCCCTTTAAAATTGTGTTAACATTTATACAAAATGGAGTATTGAAAACAAACCTTATGTTGGTCAGATATCACCACCGATCCTTTGAGATCATGAAGGTCTAGACTATCTCTAAGAAGCTCAATAAACCAAGTCCAGTTAGGCTTGCTTTCAACATCGACAACAACCCATGCTATAAGATATAGTTGGTTATTAGCATCTCTACCAATAGTAGTCAACAACTCACCATTCACCTATCCTTTAAGGAAACATACATCCGACCCAATTACTCTTCTACACCCTAATTCCCATCCATTACTTAGAGCTTTGAAACCTATGTAAAATCTGTGGAAGTAGTTCTTCCAATATGGATTAATAGTTACACTAACTTTGCATTTAGAACCTGGGTTGGACCTCAATAATTCATCAGCATAATCCCATACCCTAGCATAATGTTTAGTTAGTTTTCCTTCAATCAACTCAGTGGCCCAATCTTTGCCCTACGGACTTGCCTAATGGATACTATACATCTCAACCTTTGTTTGATATCAGCAATCATATCCGTAAGTGTCATCTTAGGTGTGTTTTCAGTTTCAGTAATGTAATGCCTACCTATCCATTGAGGGGAAACAAAACTTCCAAATTTGAACTTCCTACTGCAACGATGCTCTCCAACCAAATTTTAACTTGAAATGATTTTTCATTGTACATCCATCCAACATACAATCTGAAAGGATAATCATTCATCTTTGTCCTCTTCCCACATCTTGCAACTATTCTAGTTTTATCACATTTTTCAAAGTATATCTGATGTCCATTTGAGACCCCATAATTTTGAATACAAAACTTAAGTTGTGCAGGAGACTCAAACATATCACCTACTTTAGGTTCCATCTTATCCCATGGTGTGTTTGGATCATGAATTATGTACTTATTCTTCATCGACTGTTGTTCACCTTCATCATCACTTTGCCATTCAATAGCATGATAAACTTATGCTCTGATTTCATCAGCCATGCTTGAATTCCTTAAGTTTTCATCACTAAGTAGAACATTGAGAAAGACGTCCCTACATTTATCAAGCACAGTCACAAACTCATGCTCTGGTTTGTGATCCATATAAATACCATGGAGCTCATGATCCATCTCATTTAGTCCAAAGAAGGGCTCGTATATACTAGCAAAGAGTTCTTTGAAAACGTCATCCGATGAAGCCATTACAATTACCTGCAAAATCAAACAGATTTTACAAACAAAATCAAAGAATTTTTAGTAGATAATTGCTTTAATCATCGATTTGAGATACTCACTGGCTCAACAACTCAATAAGACTATCACCTAACGCTCTTCCTGCTTGAACAATGATACCAACAGTGTAGACCTAATCCTCTTCAAAAACCCCAATTTTGTGATAATCCCCTCCCAAAAGCCGAAGACGACCCAAAAACCTGTCGGAGGGTAAAACCGACTTTTTCTTGCAAAAGTAAGGTTTTTTATGAAATTATCCCTATTTTAAAATAGACACTTCAATGAACATTCCTTTACTTATTTTGTCCATTTGTTTGCTCATGTTATATCCCCTACAACAAACAAACATTATATATATATATATATATATATATATATATATATATATATATATATATATATATATATATATATATATATATAAATAAAAAAACAAAAAAAAACTCATACAAATTACTTTTGAACATAAAAAGATTGAACAAATCTTAATACACCAAGGAATGAAAAATCCTTTGTTAATGCCACGTCTTTTTCATTAAGGGATCTCGACTACAAAATAATAGACTTCAGAACCGATGGTATAAAGGGCATTTCGTATAACCTTTTGGGGGAATAAAAGGACATATCAGTATGTAGAAATCCTTATAAGGCGTGTGGACAATAGATTTTGAATAATAACATAAGTAAAGCACATGAACCCTAGATTGAACAATAAAAAACAATTATTTACCTTATGACCCTAGATTCCAATCTAAAAACCAAGAAAACAACTAATCACCCACAAGGATATCTCAGTACCTGAAATCGGTGATAGGGTCGATAAATGATGATGGTGACAAAATATAATGATGGGCTCGGAAATAATGACGGAATCGAGAGAAAGGTTTAATTGAAGAATAGATGCTTCTTGCAGTGTTAAGAGACTGTGGTGACGATCAGGCTCCGAAAGCGCTAGGGAGGAGGACTGAAGACTGCGACGACTCCAATTGTGGGGTAAGAAGTGAAATCAAAAAGAAATCTTGTATATGATTTTTTTGTTTTTGAGGGTGAATGAATCGATATCTAAAGAAACTGCGGGAGATTTGAGAGGGAAACTATTTGGTGAAAAAATTAAAGAAAAAAAAAATAAAGAGGGAAAAATAAATAATTTAAATTTGTTTTTAGTTCTTTATTTTTTCATTTTTTTTATGCGCCCTTCTTTAGTAAAACATAATTTTGTTTATCTGTATATTTTTAATGAATATTAAGTTTATATATTCGCATAATCAATCAAGGAAAAGCATTAAAAAGGATATATATATATATATATATATATATATATATATATATATATATATATATATATATATATATATATATATATATATATATATATATATATATAATAAACATAGTTTGATTGATGTAACTTATGTTTGTGAGTATGAATCAGAAAACTCTTATGCTACGTGACTATTTTCAAAGTGACAAATTTGAAATCATTAGCTATGAATATTTATAAGCGTAAACTCTAATAACAATAGTCGTAGGGGCAGAACCATAACAAAATGTGAGGGGAAACACACGTAAAATTTAAGGGTGTCACACTGAAAAAATTAAATGTTTGTGGAACCCTAACAAAATGTTAGGGGCAGCACACATAAAATCTAGTATTCATATGGTACATGTACCAATTTAATATATATATATATATATATATATATATATATATATATATATATATATATATATATATATATATATATATATATATATATATATATAGGCATCTTACACGTGTATGAAAGGAATCGACATCGCTGATGCGCAGCGAAGATTAAAAGTATATTGTTAAAATATTGAAAAATATATGTTTAAAATGGTTATGTTATTGATATTAACTTTGAGATAATATTTTTACACTAATATATATATATATATATATATATATATATATATATATATATATATATATATATATATAATCTTTATTATTTTGAATAATAATATTCATTCACATCAACCCACATTCCTCACTAATAAAATTAAATATAATTATCTATTTAGTATTATTTTGAACACTTATTATTATTGATTAATTATATTTTTACTTATACGATCATTTTTAATTTCAATAATGATGTTCATTTAAAATACAATTTATTTATAGCTAATTGTTATTTATAATTTGATGTTATTATCATTTAAAATTGTTACTCAGTAGTTTTAATCCATTTATTATTAATAATAAGTTAAAAAAGACTTTTAAGAAACACTTAATATTATTATTAAAATGTGAAACATACACTGAATAATAAAGTGATAAGATAGACAATTTGCATTTCAAAAGAGACTTGCATGAGTAATATGACATATCCATGTAATTTGATTTTACTATTTATAATTATTCCTTATAAACTTTAAAACCACTTGTTATTACTAATAAGTGAAAGAAACTTTTAAAAAACACTTATTGTTATAATTAAAATGTTAAACATATACTAAAATATAAAGTAATAAGATAGACAATTTGCATTTTAAAAAAGGCTTACATGGATAATATGGATATATGACATATCCATGATTTTTAGTTAATTATCGTTTTGAAGCAACATGAACATACAAGCATGTATATAATAGTAAATTAAATATTATATATATCATCTTCCATAACATATGATCGATAACATAAATCTAATCTAATTTACATTAAAATTTCAACCACAACATACAACGATATTATTAAAAGAATACTTAAATCAAGAAAATACAAAAAAAAAAAAATTGTATATAACAAACTTACAAATTAAAAACTTCAACATAATAACATGGCTTGAAAAATTATTCAAACCCCTCAAACCAACACAAAAAACTTTAAACTTGTTTTCTTTGTGAATTTTGTATGTGATTTGTATTTGTGTGTCTACTCAAAAAGATTGACCTTTTTATAGTAGAGTATCTATTAATTGTTTATTAACTATATTATATAAGTTATAGAACCTTGAATTGTTAATCATTATTAAGAGACTTTTTAGTGGTATTCATGAGAATACGAGGTTTCAAATGCATGAGGTGTTTGTAAATTTTTATGGGGGTATCAAATACACGAGGTTCATGGAAAAATTCTAGTTTTATAAGTATATATGACTAGGTGAATGTCTGTGCATTGTGTAAAAGCATCTATATAGTTGAAATTGTTACAAATATGTGTTTTTTATATATAACCATAATGTTGTTGTTAAATTTTATATAATTATTCGTATACGAAGTTGATTTAATATATTGATTATTTTGAATTATATGACAATATATACATCTATTAAAACTACGTAATCTCAATCTTTTGAATGACCTTTACCCGCGGGTTACTTATGAATAAAATTAAATATAATATATGGTTTAATGTTATTTATAGTTGTTGTTATTGTTAATTAATTTTTAAAATTTATTTGCTTAATGTTTTAACTTTTATCAATTTAATTATTGAAAACATCAAACAATTTTTTTTTATTTTAAAAGTAACAATACAATTATTTATATAGACTTATATTTAACTATTATTATTGTAAGTTATTTTAAGGTACTTCTTTGAAAACTTTTAACGATTATAAAAATATCTTTAGGAAATATTTTAGTTAAATTGATATTACAATTTAGTGTTTGTATTTAGCACTACAATTTATCACTTTTGACTATTTACCAAATATTATTTGGGTTTTTTAAGTAGAACTGAAGTTTATATTGAAGTTGACCTTATAATGTTATATTTAAATTAACAATTTAAGTATTTTGTTCAGACTTTTCAAAAGTTGTAACTTTAAACTGATAATGGTTTACATACAACAACATATTAAATCTAATAAATTAAGTATAATACGTTAAAAGTTAATACATACTTTTATAAGTACAAGTAAAAATATTATTTTAATATTAAAATTTAGTTTATTTATGATTACACTTAAGGTTTGATACTTATTTAACCTTATTAACCAAATTATAATCATTATTAGAAAGATATTACAATTTATCACTTTTAACTATTTACTAAATATTCTTTCGGTTGTTTAATTTGAACTAAAATTCATATTTAAGTTGATCCTGTAAGGTTATATTTAAATTAACAATTTACATATTTTATACAAAATGTTTAAAAGTTGTAGCTTTAAAATGATAATGGTTATATACAACAACATATTAGACCTAATATATTAAATATAATATGTTAAAAAGTAACATAACTTTATAGTAGAAGAAAATATATTCTTTTAATATTAAAATTTAGTTTATATATGATTACACTTTAGGTTTTATACTTATTTAACCTTACTAACCAACTTATAATCATTATTAGAAAGAAATTGAAAAGTCACGGGAGTTTCAAATGAATGTGGTGAAAAGAAAATTGAATGAGAGTTTCAAATTAATGTGGTAAAAGGAAAAAAATATTTCATTTATAAGTATATAGTAGGCGTAACCTCTTGCGTTGCACAAGAATGCATTTAAATAGTTAAAATAATTATGGGAAAAAATAGAAATATGTTGAAATTTACGTTTTTAGTCATGTTTTGGGCGTTAACTGAATTATCAAAGAATATAAAATCCATCAATTTATATTTTGATACTATCTAATATAGTCCATACCTTATAAACTTTAATTTTACTTTTATAATATCCAATATATATTATAAGTTTTTATATAACATTAATATAAGATAAAATTACAAAAATGGTCCCTGTGGTTTGCCAAAAGTAACAAAGTCAGTCCCTGCAATTTTTTTTTGATACAAATGGCCCCTGTGGTTTGAAAAACTTGCATAGATGGCCCTTTTTACTAACGCCGTTACTATTATGCCGTTAGAGACTGAATCTGTAAGGGTATTTTCGTCTTTTCAAGTATAAAGGGACTAAATTAGTGACATTTACTAACCACAGGGACCATTTTTGAAATTTCTTTGCAAAAAAGAATTAAATTGCTAAAAGGAGGGCTCGAA